TGTTTGTGGGTGTTCACTGGCATCCCCACCTGGCAGTCCTCTCTGCCGCATTCTGGCTAAAAGTCCAGGCCCTGTGAGACATCCTCTGAGAGATCCATAGAAAAGAAGCTTATTTTTCATCCTTGTTACCACCCAGAATATTACCTAATTGAACATAACACAATTATGCTACTTAGGAGACAAGCAGAAATCCTAATATCAGTATATCTCACCAGGGAATGATAGGGCTCACCAGCTATTGAAGTCTTAGAAACAGCACTGAGCCAATTATGGCACAAAAGATTTTGGGGAATGATCACTGCAGCCATCATCTTAGCTGTTGTCATTCTGACTACTGCCAGCTTCGCCGTGACAGCCTTTTCTGAGTCTGTACAGATGACCACATTTGTAGATAATACAGGCTAGTGCTCAATTGTGTTTGGGAACATAACCATACATGTGTCACCCCTTAAAATGGAACAGTAGTCACCATCAGTGGATTGATGTAAAAAAGCATCTATGGGGAGTCTTTCATGATAACCTTACTGTAAAAGTAAACACATTGCAAAAGCAAATTAAAGAATCCTCACTTGCTATCAATGAACACAAACAACAGACCACTGCTTAGAATGCAGTAAAGGAGCCTTTGGAGTGAATAGACCCCACCAGATGGTTTCCTAGAATCAATTGGCACCTGATCAGACTAAACATTGCTGTCATTATAATTGGCTTTGTTTTTCTTATAGTCTCTAAAATCATAACTCAAGCAATGAATGCACTTCTAGGACATGGACATTCCAAAGCAGAAAGTTTGTCACCTCTCTCTGTCCTCTGCAGTCAGCAAAACAAAATAGAGGTAATGTGGGAAAGCACGGAACTTGGTTGGAAAGTCTGTAAGAAGGAAACTCCGAATAGTCAGAACCTCCTGGAGGAGTTGGCTGAAAGCGACTACCCCTGCCTTGACTTGTCCAAAAAAGTCTGTGTATCTGTGAGCCCCCAGGTGTTTACTGGAATCTTTATGCTTAGTCTTCAGACGTCCTTGCTTAAAGGACACTTCAGATGCATGTGTCTTCTCAAGGATGCTTGCCCTGCTGATTGTATCTAAAAGTTAATTTTAGTTCAAGATGTTGTTATAATAAAGGCCTAAGGAAACAGGCAAACGGTGCTGTTTGGTTACTCTAGCCAGTCAGTCCCTTAGCCCTCTCGTTCACATCAACATGTGTCAGAGTAATGATTCATCTGTTGCTCAGGGTCTACAGGTCAGCCCTGACAATCATCACCACCACCAGCACCACAATTATTATCATCAGCCTATTTATAATTATTTTTTTCTCATTTTCAGTAGACTTTGATTTTGCACACACATAATGACATTTTATCTGAACGTTTGCTCAGTTTATATAATTGTTCAGTAAAATATTTAGCCATACTTTATTATCTTGTTCGTTTTATTTCTGAAAACTGATGGCTTATTCATTCCTGACTCTTCTCACGTGGCCTTGCATGGGAAGCTGAAAAAAAAAAGGTAGGGACTCCTTTCCGTATGTCAATATGAGGTTAAAACCACACAAGCTGTTGTAAGCAGAATTCCTCCTTCTCCCCCACCACCTCAACTAAATAAAATCCCTGAGTCAGTCTCCTTTCCCGGCTCCATCAAAGCAGGCCTGACTTCTGGTTAGTCTTTCCTGTGCCTCCCAGAGATTTCAACTATGAGCACAATAAACATTCTATGCCCCTTGGTGTGTGTTTATCATCACCCTGGACACCTGTATGAATCTGCTGTGGGTTTCTCTGCATCTGCCCGGCGTCACCTACAATCAGTGCTATGAGCATCACGACAAGTCAATGACCATCACCACCTGGGGTCCTTCTTCTCTAGCTTTCAGGTCACACTCCTCTGGTGCTCACTGTCCAGCACACACGTGTCCTACTGGCTGGCAGAGACCATGAGCTGTGTGGGGCTGAGCTGCCCTGTTGAGTCAGCACATCCTCTGGTTCTATGTAGCTGACTTGGGCAGAATTTTTGATAATTAATTGTAACTTGTCACAAGAGCGTCTGAAAAATCTCTCTGCAGTTTGTCCATGTGAGAAAGTTGTCTCTGTTTACAACAGATGTTTCTAACTCAAAGACATCAGAGATAAGTGCAGAGTCAGGAATTCAGGGAGATTCCCTGAGTGAAATTGATATGACGAGGAAACCGCACAGGACACCAGCCCAAACCTCCGAAGGCACCTGCTGCTGGGATGGTCCTTGTGTTCAGGGACCCTGAGCGCCCCCTGGTGGTCACAGCGTCTCCTGCAGAGAGGTTTGTGCCTGGGCTCACACTGGCTTACCCTCACTGTGTGTCTCTTGCACAGTAATACACAGCTGTGTCCTCCGCTCTCACGCTGTTCATTTGCAAATACAGCGTATTCTTGGCATTGTCTCTGGAGATGGTGAATCGGCCCTTCACAGAGTCTGCGTAGGATGTGGTACTCCCATCACCCCTAATGTATGAGACCCACTCCAGCCCCTTCCCTGGTGCCTGGCGGACCCAGTTCATCCAGGAGCTACTGAAGGTGAATCCAGAGGCTGCACAGGAGAGTCTCAGAGACCCACCAGTCCGAACCAAGTCACCCCCAGACTCCACCAGCTGCACCTCACACTGGACACCTGCAAACACAAAGGAAACACTCACATGTCCACTATTTCTTCCACTCATATCCACTCAAATACTCAGTATATCTTGTTCTCCCTAAATTACCTCTAAAAATAGCAAAAAGGAAAACCCAGCTGAGCCCAAAACCCATGGTGAGTGGTTTGTGTTCAGTCCTGATCAGGGGGGAATGGGAACACCTGGGGATCCTGGGGTTTGGCTCCTCTCTCAGAGCTGTAGGGTCAGGGCTGGGCTGGTTGATATGATCAGAGGGGCCCCTATTTGCATGTCCTTCTGCTATATAGGGAGGTCTTGGTTTAGAGTCTTACCTTAAGGACATGGTCACAGAGTGTGGCATGTCCAAGGGTGCATGTTTGTTAAGAATTATACTCCACATCAGGGCCTGTACCCTCCCCACTAGACCCAACTGCTTCAGGCGACCCGTACAAAGACCCAGGAGAGAAAATTGTCCTAAAACGAAAAGAGAAGGTTTAAAATGAGAGATGCCTTTGACAGTCACCAGTAATGACAACCAAGATAAATCAACCCTCACAACCAGAGAAAGAAGAAGGAGTTGCAAGAGGTTCATGTTCAGGAGACAGGAATTTGCATCCGATACCACTTTCACTACAAAGTGATCAGAGGAAAACCTAAGACCAGAGTGTGAGCCTAGAGCCTGTGGACCAAGTGCTGAGGAAAGTGGATTGTCTGTGTGGGTCTCTGGGAACCAGAAGCATGAACTATAGTGACACAGACAGAGCTCCCAGGTCCTATTCCTTCAGGGGAGTTGGTGCTAAGGTGTGTCAGCTGCATGGCCTCCTTTGTGGTGTTTTTTCTCTAGACTCTTTTGGAAAACCAGTTTCATACATTAGGATATAGAACACTCTTAGTCATAACCAGGTGTGTTTAGGGGAAGATGTCAGTAATGAATTAGGAGTAATTAACTTTAAGTCATGAAAATGTTGTGAAAGAACAGGAAAAGGGCCTTTTTTTTTTTTTGCTGTGCTCACCACAATTTATGAGAATTATATTATAATTAAACTCCAACATGGTTAGCTTCTCTAATTCAAACAACCCCTCTGTTCAAAGTGAGGGACAAGAGGAGCTACTCTCAAGGCTGCATTCTTGCATCTCTCCCTGCTCCCTGCTGTTTTCAGAACTCTGGGAACATTCACAACAATGAGTGTCTAGTTAACAGAAATTTCCCTTTCACCCCTCCTCTTCAAACAAGCCTCTTTGTGAATCTTCATACCTTTTTCTCCAAACATGTCACAGGCTTGGGGGAAATACTGATAAGACACCTTTCTAGGACATCTGCCAGAATGTTTCCTTGAAAGCAAATAAATTGTCACTTTTAAAGACAATCCCCCTGATATCCGGTCAACTTCAGCTAAAAATCCTTCCCCCTTCCCTGTCACCTAGCAACAGCAGGCATTACTCTTTAAAGTAGAGCTGTGTTTTATTGCTGCCCTGTATTGACTACTGATACACCAGTGGTTTCTCTTTCTGGAAAGTAAAGTACTCTTCCTCTCTGTATCTCTCCATTTAGTTGTGAATTGTTGCACAGCACATGTTACCAGCCAAAAGCTTGCACTGATGTCTGCATGTGAACCTTGTGACTACTGTCACCAGGTCCCCACACGATGGGGGTCAACTGGAATATGAACCTGACTCAGTGCCACATTGGGGGGGTAAGGTCCCTGGGAACATGATGGAGGATTAACCAAGACCAAGGGCACACAAGTCCAGGGTTCTTGTTTCATTAGGTTGTGATCTCCTTATTGGTAAGGCAGCTCAAGTGGATGGATGTGGGGGCTCCCAGTGTTTGGTGCACTGAGCTGACAGCTCTTCCAGGGATACATGTGGATCCAGAGAGGATGGGTGAGGTCCGCCAGCTTTGATTGTCCTCAGGCTTTTCAGCAGAGGGAGGGCCCTGTGATTTCCCTGGAAACAGGAAGGGGAGGGCAATTGGAGATTCAGACACTGAGGGAGCTGTGAGCCTGAGAGATGGAAGCTGTGCACACAGCCCAATCCCAGCAATCCACCTTTGGAGTTCATACTCCTCAGCGAAACATTGAAAAGACAGTGAAAAACATTTTTATAATTTGTGGAGGAGACTTGGTGAAGGAGAGTCCCAGTCATTGCCAACATAGCACCTGCAAACAGACAATGTCCCTTCTCCTTTGTTGTCTGCAGTGAGAATATGAGAAGAATCCTCCCTGGAGGCAGCTGAGAGCTTGAGAGGAAATCTCTGCACCCAACAGGGAGGCCCTTCCCTCCCACCTCCCTCTGCCCCTGCTCCTGGGCTGCTCTCTGTGCTGTGGGTCCTGAGCGCCCCCTGCAGTCCAGCCCTGCTGCCTCCCGCAGGGAGGTTTGTGTCTGGGCTCACACTGACTTCCCCTCACTGTGGTAATAGATGGCCATGTCCTCGGTGGTCATGGAGCTCAGCTGCAGGGAGAACTGGTTATTGGAAGTGTCTCTGGAAATGGAGGTCCGGTGCTTGAAGGAGGGGCTGTAATAAGTGTTTCCATCATAACATGTGGACCCCACTTCACTGGGGGCTGGCTGATTCAGCTCCAGCAACCACTGGGGATGGATGAACCAGAGACAGTGCAGGTGAGGGAGAAGGTCTGCAAGGGCTTTACCAGTCCTGGGCCCGACAGCTGCACCAGCAGTTGCACAGGGGATGGACAGGACACCTGTAGATAAGGAGCATCAGTCCTGTCAGTCACTTGCAGTCTCAGCCATCCCATGACCCCTGTCTGACCCCTGAGACCTTCACCTTGGGGGCTGTCACCAGGCACAGGAGAAGACCCAGCAGTCTCTTCTTCTAGAACACAGTTCTGCCTTTCCATAGACCTCAGCCCTGTGTGGGGAGAGAGCTGTGCGACTGCACAGCCCAGGAGAGGATTTACCCTGGAGCTTGAACAGAAATTTGCATGTGGAGCAGACTTTCCTATAAGTGGAGGGACTGAGGTTAACCTGCCCTTGTCATAACAGGATCTTTGTGGGGGAGTCTCTTCTCTGGACCTCAATCAACATGTAAATCAGGGACAGGGGACCACGTGGGTCATGAGACTCATTGGATTCAGGTCAAAGCACAGCCTCACCTTTCTGAGCATAAGAAGAAACATGGACTCGATGAGCAGGTTACACTTTTACCTTCTCATGCATATTTCAAACAGATGCAAAAGGGATTAGCATTTGTTCAGACCATTTCTGAATCTGAACACTATAGTATGTCTGCAATTTCCAGATTTTTTTCATAATTTTATACAAATAATTTCTCCCTTTGTGTAGAAAAGGAAAATAAAGGAAAGCCATTATCAGTATCTTATATCATAATTTATGATGTTACTTTGAGCTGAGAAAGTCCTTGCCAAGCACAGGCTGGTGGGACATTCTTGGTCCTTGATGTTGGAAATGTTGTGATTGTGTCTACAGCTTCCTTTGCAAACTCTTCCTTTATGCAAGCCCATGGCCTAGTGCAGAGACTCCAAATTAGTGACATCAGAAATAGTCATGCATTATGACAGGCCATGGAGGGACTCCTGGGGGACAGGGTGTCTGCATCATGGCTCAGGGAGGGCTACCAGTGTCTTCAGGAAGGTACTGCCATGTATGGTCATGTTCAAGCACATGCAGGTCGAGGTCCAGAGCCTGGAATCAGCCTGTCCACTGCCTACTCATCTGTCTGCTACCAAAAATCTGTGTGACATGGGAAACCTGAGTGACATGGGAAGACTGGGACCCATGACCTTGTTCCCTTGGTGTACCTACTGTCCCTCCACAGCCACCGGGCCACTGGCCCTAGAAGACTCAGGTGGGCTCTACTGTCAGTATCAGACATCAGCATCTTGGAAATTCTCATAAAAGGCCGTCCAATAGCCATAGCACACCCATGGCACAGGGTGAGTTCTGGTCAGGAGAGATGTCTCCCTCTCCCTGGGAGCCTGCACCTGAATCAGCTGATTCCCTCTCAATGGCTGGAGGGGATCCCATGGATGGGGCCCTGGCGACAGGTGTGTGTGGTGTCAGTTCTGAACCAGCTCAGGTCCTCAGAGGGAGGGGCTGGGGCAGCCTCCATGGCCCAACCTAGGGAAGTTCTGATATGAACAGAAACAGCACTGAGAACACTAGAGCTGCATTGGGTGGAGCAAGTCAGACCACTGAACTCTGACCTCCCTGACCTCTGACCACACATAACACCCTTCCCCTGCTTGGTGCTGGGGCTCACTCTAAATACTAATGCACTAAATTGGAGCTTACAATGGAATTACTTAAGAATATTCCTAGTATGTGTAATTTGATTAAGCTCCTAGGAAAGTTAGCATTAAATATAGTCAAATATACAGGAACCATGAGAAGGACATGATAAAGATAGAAAGAGGAGATTCCTCAGAAAGTGAATGGGAGAAATTAATTGCAGAAGCTGAAAGTGGTCAGTGGGGGTGAAAGCTGTGAGGAGGCTGTGCAGAACAAGACATTAAGCCACAGTAGGGCTGTCTCCCATTGAACTGAGATTTGCCTGTTTATGGAAGGTCTTCAGTGGGACCAGGCACTGGACTGACAGTTCTAGTCTCAGTGGATTTTCCAAGACAGAGTCATCCTTTCAAATGGGAGAACAAAGAGGTTTGTTCATTGGAAGCACAGTCCTTGTCTTCCTCCTGTGACATTGGCTATTTATTACGGATTTCATAACGCATTTCCAACATGGACTCGCCTCTCCATCCTCCTTTAGAGCTATTCTGTAATGCTGGCCTCACAGATATTGACTCGATAGCTAGGCTGTGGTCACTGCAGACAGTGTGGACAGCCACCCATTGGGAGTGACAAGCCACACAGCCAAATCTGGGACTGTCATCTGCTCCAGCACCCATGGCCCTGCCCATCACGGTGCTCCACAGATGGTGGGGCAACCAGGATGACTGTGACCCTAGGTGTGTGACTGCAAGAGGGGCTGTGGGGTCAGCATCCCATGGGACTCACACATGAACCAGCTTGACTTGCAGCAGGTCCCACGGGACCTAAACTCACAACTGATAACATACGGACCCTGATGAGGGGATTAGAAACAGGACACCAGATGGGAGAATATGCATACCTAGGTATGCACCCTGGTGGCAAATTGAACCCACAACCCTTCTGTGTACGGGACAAATCTCCATCCAATGGAGCCACCTGGCCAGGGAAGTAGTCAAGTATTTTTGTATGAACATAAAGATTCATTCTTCTGCCGTAGTTGGTTTGGCTCAATGGATAGAGTATCGGCTGGGTTCAATTTCGGTCAAGGGCACATATCTCGGTTACAGGCTCCACCCTGTCCCTGACCCTGGTCAGGGCAAGTGGAGGAGGCACCCAATCGATGTGTTTCTCTCACATCGATATTTCTCTCTGTCTTTCCCTCTCTTCCACTCTCTCTAAACAAACAAACATATATAAAAAAAAGATTCATTCTTCTGGAGCAAACATTCTGAGTAGGATCAGTGAGACATATGTGAAGTACGTGTTTGATTTCTTTAAAAACTCAATTCATTTTGTAAAGAAAAGAATGAAAGGACATACAGGGACCTGGTGAAGGGGAGTCCCCAGTCACTGCTGATATGGCATCTGAAAACGGCAAAGTTACCTCTTCCACTGGTGTCTACAGTGAGAATATGAGAAATTAGACCCACAGAGAAAGAGCGTTTATCACCCTCATTGAAGCTGAGAGCTTGAGAGGAAATCCCTGCGCCCAACAAAAAGGTCCATCCCTCTCCACCTCCCTCTGCACCTGCTCCTGGGACTACTCTCTGTGTTGTGGGTCCTGAACGCCCCCTGGTGTCCGGATCGCCCCCTGCAGCCCAGCCCTGCTGTCTCCTCAGGGAGGTTTGTGTCTGACTGCCCCTCGCTGTGTGTCTCACACAGTAATACAAGGCCGTGTCCTCAGTGGTCACGGAGCTCAGCTGCAGGGAGAACTGGTTCTTAGACGTGTCTCTGGAGATGGAGATTCGGCTCTTGAGGGAGGAGCTGTACTTAGTGTCTCCGTTATGATTTATACACCCCATCCACTCCAGCCCCTTCCCTGGGGGCTGGCGGATCCAGCTCCAGTCATAACTACTGGTTGTGATGGAGAATTCATAGACCGCACAGGTGAGGGTGAGGGTCTGAGAGGGCTTCACCAGTCCTGGGCCCCACCCCTGCAGCTGCACCTGGGACAGGACACCTGGGGACAAGCAGCGTCAGTCATTCACGTGCAGTCACAACCATCCCATGACCCTGTCTGACCCCTGAGACCCTCACCTTGGGGGGCTGTCACCAGGCACAGGAGAAGACCCAGCAGTCTCATCTTCTTCTAGACCACAGCTCTGCCTTCCCAGAGACCTCAGCCCTGAGTGAGAAGAGAGCTGTGAGCCTACACAGCCCAGGAGAGGATTTACCCTGGAGCTTGAAGAAAAATTTGCATGTGAGGCAACCTTTCCTATAAGTGTAGGGACTGAGGTCTGATTTCCCTGGTCATTCTGGGGCCTGTATGGGGGCATCTCTTCCCTTGACCTTACTGAGCATGTAAGTCAGTGAAGGGGACCACATAGGTCATGAAGCACATTGGAATTAAGTTTAAAAAATGGCCTAAACTCTCTGAGCATAAGAGGAAATTGTGCACTAAATGCAGAGCCTCTGATTGGATTTAGCTAACTTAGGTCAGAAGATTTGATCATTAATTGGTACTTGACACAAGAATCTGAAAGAGACTCTTTGACATTTGTCCATTTGAAGAAGCTGTCTCTCTTTCAACAGACTTTTCTAACTCAGAGAGATCAGAGGTAAGCATGGTCAGGAATCCAGAGGTTCCCTGAGGAAAACTGTGACATGAAGAGGAAACCACACAGGAAACCAGCCCAAACCTCCAACTGCACCTGCTGCTGGGATGGTCCTTGTGTTCAGGGAACGTGAGCACCCCCTGTTGGTCACAGCCTCTCCTGCAGGGAGGTTTGTGTCTGGGCTCACACTGACTGGCCCTCAGTGTGAGTCTTACACAGTAATACATGGCTGTGTCCTCAGCTCTCAGGATGCTCAGCTCCATGTAGGCTGTGTTCATGGAGGTGTCTCTGGACATGGAAACTCTGCCTTGGAACTTCTGTGTGTAATTTGTCTTTCCATTGCTAGGGTAAACCCTCCCCATCCACTAAAGCCCCTGTCCTGGGGCCTGTTGCACCCAGTGCATCCAGTAGCTGGTGAAGGTGTATCCAGAAGCCTTGCAGGAGACCTTCACAGAGGCCCCAGGCTTCTTCACCTCAGCCCCAGACTGCACCAGCTGCACCTGCCAGTGGAAACCTGTGGAGAGGAGACAGGAGTGGGTGGAAATCCCCCTTGAATCTCCCTGATCCCCACCTTATCCCAGGGACTGGGGAGCCACTTACCTGTAGCCACAGCCACCAGGAGGAGGGTCCTCCAGCTCCAGTACATGGTGAGGGGCGGTGCTTTGAGCACTTCTGTAGTGGAGGGGGTGGCTGTGGGTGATGCCCTAAGCTCACAGACTTATCCATATTTAACCTAGTCTACCCCCTCTATTTTGCATATTCATGAGGCAAAGTATTTAATAAATGAGGTCTTGACCCCACCTGAGAGAAGATGGATGACACAGGGACCATGCTCAGTGGGAGTATGAGGGTCCAAGTCCTTATTCTATTTTTTTAATATATTTTTTATTGATTAAGATATTGCATATGTGTCCCTGTCCCCACATCACCCTCCAA